TAAGTTAATTTTGTATGATTTAAATTTATTTTTACGTAATAAACGTAAGACTGAAGAATGACCTACATCATGTACTTGTGCAACCCTGCCTGGGGATGTATGTGGATCTTCAACAAAACTTTGCTTATATCTGAAGTTTTGTTGTTCATTGATAACTCGTTTCGGTCAACCTGATCGGTATCTATCTTTTACTTCTCCAGATTCCTCAAATCGCCTTACAGTTTTTTGTACCGTCGTCTTATGAATAGGAAAACGGTTTAGAGAACGGCATTTTAGAGAAGCAATTTAAATTGCAGAACTTTTTGAACCACAACTACTGTCAATTTTAGTTCATAATTTAAATGGTGAACAAATGTCAAAATCACAGCATTCTTCATTTAAATATTTAAATTTATTTAAATCTACATATTTTGCCTGTTTTATGTATTTAAGATCTTTCAGACTACATAAAATCCAATGAACATATGGTTGAACTCGTGTTGAATAGCTGAACTCGTGTGAAATTCAAACTGAATGCGTGAAAACCATACTCAAAGACCACAAAAATTAAATGTATGGTCAGTTATAGCAGGTACTTATTTAATTGGGCCATTTTTTATCGAAAGAAATTTAACGTCAGATAGTTGGTGCAAACGTTCGGCGTTATTTAGATGAGATATTTCTCGGACGATAAATTGGTAGACAAGGTAGAATTGAATGGCCTCCACGTTCACCCGATCTCAATCTTAAAGATTATTTTTATTAGAGATACTTGAAAAATTCAGTTTACAAAACTTAACCAGCAAGTCTTGCATAGCTAAGGCAATGAATTATCGATGAATCTCGAATAATTTCTAGACAATCATGGAGAAATGTGGTAGACGCATTCTACCATCGATTAGAGTGCTGTCAACTCACAAATGGAGCACATTTTGAACACTTAATAACGTAACTATTATGTTAAAAAATATTCTAAACTATCAATTGTTACGTTTTAATGTATTTGAAAATAGTTAGTATTAAAAAATGTATTGAAACAATTTAGGCGTTGCCAGACTTCTGTTTTATGTATTTAAGACCTACCAGACTACATAAGATCATAAGTGTTACATATGGTTGAACTCATATTTAATAGGAGATTCCAATAATGACTGAATATACAGGGTGATGTATTTGAAAAACCAAAGTTACTGGTAATATAAGAGAAACTGAAAATCTGGCAACATTGCAAATACCAAATATGGAATTTCCGTATCCCAAAATACCACCAGTTTTTATATATGGGGCTGAAACCTGGACGTAAACTCAAAATAAAAAAGACTTCTTGGTATTTTTGAGAGAAAAATCCTTTGAAGGATTTTTGGGGCCAATAAAAATGGGCTATGGCGTCGAAGATACAACTTTGAACTATATTAGTTATACACCGATCCAGATCTTGTGAAATTCCTTAAAGTGCAGAGACTTAGATGGACTGGGCACATCGTTAGGATGTCAGATCACGAATACATGAAGAGATTAACATTTTTGTGCCCACGAAGAAGGCACAAGAAGGAGAGGACGACCACGAAGGAGATGGATTAATGATGTGGAAGAAGACTCACAGATTCTAACGGTCAGAAGATGGAGTTAAGGAGAGCAGGTCAAGATCTACAACGGATTTTCGAGTCACTTATGATGATGGTAACAAAACTAAACACTGATAGAGTAACTGACTAGTATAACTGATAAGTGTTTATTAAACAAGGGAAAAAGATTAGTGATTTCCAATATTTAAACCTTAAGTCTGGTTCAGGTACATTTTCTTATAAATATATGCAAGCAAAATATAAATTTTGGTCGTTAACCTCATACATAATGACGTATCTGGCTAAAAAATTCATATCTGATTGGTTTTAAATCATTTAGAACTTTCATGAAGCAATACGTTGAGCTTTGTGTAATTATTTGTTCATGAAACTTTATTAACGTTTCATTGTTTAGTATTTGAGAACGATTTCCGAAGTGGAAATTGAAACGTCAATAAACGTATTTTGACCTTTAATTGTGGCTTATTCCCAGTTAAATAGTAATCAATAAGTTTTTTTCATAAAACTAAAAACAAAAAAGTTTCTCATCATGGTGCCGACTTTGAAAACATTGTATAATATCTGGTATTGTAATTTCAAATAGAAGAAACTTAAAAACGTTGCTTATAAGTTTTACTAATTTAAATATGAACAATTTGTTACTTAAGTCTCGTTAGTAAATGTCCAGCAATTAATCGATTTCATGAAATGTCAGGTGCGTTAATACTAAGATCGATCATGTGGGCAGTAGTTTAATTGGACAGGCAATTAGTTATATCGGAGGAGACATGTTATACCAAATTACGGGGATGGCGAAATTTTATAACTGTATTATCTAATTACTGGCATATAAATAATATGTACATTTTCAGTTCTATAACAACTTACAAATAAAGAAAATACGTAATTAATCATATTATTATATCTATTATTATATAATGTCTTTAAAACTATTAAAACTAAATTAATAAATATCTTTTTCTACTCTCTTGCTAGTAAATTGTATATTACCTACTATTTGGATGCTAAGTAAATACATCAAAACAGAGACTGACACATAATGCTAACGTAATAAAAAATTACGCTTAGTTTTATAAAATGGTAATATCATCGAGCAAAAGACAAAAGAGGGAATCTAATCCTTATGAAAAGGAGATTAAAAAAGTGGCCTCTGATGGCGGACCTATCCGGAAATGCGAATGCGCCAAATTTAAATTTTCCGACACTTATCAACAGTAGCTATATATATTTTTCAGAATGTGTCTTGGACGAGAAAGTTTTAATTAATTATTAACAATAACAGTCTAAAATGCGATAAAATTGTTAAAAAACTTCAATATAAATAAGATTTCATGTGACATTTGGGACAAACAATAACATAACCCAACTAAATTTGCTGTCAAGCAAGGAGAGAGACTCTCTTTCCTTGTTTAATGTGGCCTCTAAAGATCGCACTTCCTGTCTAACAATATGTTTGCCCCCACTACCTTTACATTCCCTCTTTTGTCTTTTTCTCGATGAATATCACATAAGCCTCGTAAGTAAGTTGGTCGAGTTACCATGGAAACGAATTAACAGACGTTATTTTGACAGATTAAAAATTATTAATCTGTCAGTGTAAATATAGTGGTAATTTAATTTTTATTTTTATAAACGAAAATAATCTTAGAAAAAGTATAGTACACCAATACTGCACTGGCTTACGCGGCTGCGCGCATCTTTTTTACTCGCATGTAATAAGCTTCTTACAACTCTCGTTATGTAATATACTATTAAAACTTTTTATCTTTCTGATTTTAAAATATTTACTTAATTGTTAAAACATTTTACAAATAAAGTCTACTCTTGAGTTAAAATTGTAACGGCAATGATGTCAACAAAATTCATTCACAGTTACAAAATTTTCAATTCTGAACAGAAAATCACTGACCTTTCCTTCGTAGATTATATTTGGACCATACCCAGATATCGTCCACGCTCCACAGCAATGTAATCTGCCACTATTCGCCTCGGCTTTCTTCTTTTCGTATCTGCAATCCTCCTGCAGCGACTGTACGAAATACCTGACTCAATTCTCCAACAATTAATACTTTCTCCAAACACTCAGATACTTCTCAATGATCACAAGACCTCTTTCTGACGCCAAACTTTCTACTGCCAAATTTCCTACGTATTCCAGAAACTGCACATTTTAGATCCAAGGATATCTTTTCATTGACTTGTAATCTCCTTCCACAATTCTGCTAACTTCCTTTCACAATGCCGGTATCCAAATTCACGAACACACTCTCTATCGAGACGCGACCTTTTCTTTCGATGATCAAATGACAACTGTCCTCTTTCTCTCATACATCGACTATCAATTCTCCCATTCAAAAAAAAACTGTCCAATCAAAAAGCATTTGTTTTGTTTACAATCATTCAGGAAAAACTCCATTACTGTTTCCAGAGAAACTAAAATTTTTGCTTTAAAACTGGCTTTTCCTTTGGTTACAAATACTAATTCATTCCTATAACAAAAGATTAATTATAATATCTTAATTCTAGGTCATATACAAACAATGAAAAGATTATAATGAGTATGAGCTTTCTAATTCTATATAAAAAGATTTTACCTGTGAGTGTTTAAAAATCAGTTGTTGACAGGCAAAACTTTCAGTTAATCTAATCTTATCTTAATCTAATACATAAATTTTGTTTACCAGGATGTCTTGAAAATTTATTTAAATAGTCTATTTATTAATTTTAATTTTTTCTTTTTCTGAGAAGAAGAAGTATGATAATATATTACCAAATAAAAAATTAAATTCCATTAATTTTTCACTCAATTAGGTATGTCGAATGTTCATCCATAAAGTTGTTAAATGAAACCTTAACTAAAAATAAACTTACCATTACTTTTAAAAATCCACCGAAGCGGTATGTTCATTTTTCATTAAATTTACCGTGAAACATTTATTAACAGCAAGAGAAGTGGACAAAAACGTAAATTTCCTTTAAACCAGTAGTTCTCAAAACCCAATTAACAATGAAATATACCCGGCGGGTGCTTGACCAGTGTCGCTTCACGAAAACTTTATAAGACTATTGTAAGCTCTGCAAACTGGATAAAGGTTTGTTAGTACTTTTGGGGATTATGGTATCTATACCGATTTGTTAGTAAATAAGTGCTTTGATTGTTAAAATTTAAATTAGAAATTTAACCAAAAATATAAACTTTTTATGTATAACAAAATAAAACAATATTATCAGCTAAAGTGTTCCTTCTTCTTATCCGACGTTGGCGACCACCTATGCGAAGGCTTCTCGATCTTCTGCAATATGGAATTTGCATTTGATTATCTGAGTCTATTCACGAATGTTTTTTAACCAAGAAAAAATTTTGAGGTTATGTAATGTATATACATGTAAAGAATTTATTTAGATTATAAAAAGAAATTAGAAATTTATATCAAGATGAGCACTCAATCTTTACAGAATGGTAATTTTAGCGAAAGTACTGAAGCTGAAAATAGGTTAATAGAATTAGCAAAATATAATTCAGAAAGTATTTCAAATGATGACATAACAAAGCATATGCCTGATGTACCCCTTACAGAAATAACAACTATTATTAATAAATGTTTAAAAAATGGCACATTTGATTTGTTTAAAACCAAAGATAACCTCTTATAAAAATACAAGGATCCATCTAAGAAAACAAATATTAAAGGAGCACGTAGTTAGGAGAACGTGGTATATAAAATAATAGAAGAAGCAGGAAACAAGGGCATATGGATAAGAGATATCAGCTTTAGTTCAAATTTAAATATGACACAGCTTAACAAAGTATTGAAAAGTTTAGAAAGAAAAAAATTGTTTTCTTCCTACTACTTCTACGGCCTTCTATTTTTGCTTTAAGGATCAATTTTTCGATGTTTAACAGTCTTTAGCAGTTCTCTATTGACGCTTCTTAGTACTTCTTCATTAGTTTTCCCTGCTGTCCAAGGTATCTTCAGCATTCGTCTATGAACCCACATTTCTAATGCTTCAATTTTGTTCAAAATTGATAAATCGATTCATAAAAGTACGGACCAAACATAGCACAACTATTATTTGTCTTAGTTCTAAACTGAGATGGTTAATTGCAACGAAATGACTTTATTTTTGTAAAAGTAGTTTTAGTCATTGCTATTCTACGTTTCATTTCTATGTCTGGATCTAGTTGGTCCGCAATCACAGTTCCTAAATATGTCATTTTGTGAACTTTCTCAACTTGGACTCCGTTTAATTGAAGCTTTGCATCGGTAATGTGGATCACGATTAAACAACAAAAATTTAGTTTTGTTTGAGTTTATTTTAATGCCCATTTCCTCTCCTACCTCGTGAATACGATCAAGCAGAAGTTGAAGACTTTCAATATTATCTGATAGAATTAATGTATCGTCGTTTATAATCAGTTTAGTAATTTTCGTTATTTTTATTCCTATGGTTGTCCTCAAGTGCATTCTAATAACTGGTCCTAGTAAACATTGAACAATTTTGGCGATAAAATGCAACCTTGTCTGACTCCTTGTTGTATAGAGATTTCATCGGTGTAGTTATCTCCAATTTTTACGATAGCAGTTTGATTCTAGTACAAATTTTTAATAACACAAATATCCTTGTCATATGTTATGATATTTTTCAGTATTCGCATTAATTTTACATGCTGTACTTTATCAAATGCCTTTTCGAAGTCCCTGAAATACGCAAATACATCTTTTATTGGTCACGGCAGTTTTGTAATAGGATGTTAAGCGCAAAAAGTGCCTCCCTGGTTCCCATAGCATTTTTAAAACCAAATTGGGTATCTTCAAGATCTTTTTCGCATTTGCGTCTAATTCTGCGGCTGTAAAGTATTCTTAGAAAAATTTTAAGAGTGTGGCTCAATAGGTTCTCAAACAAGAAGTTTTGGGAAGAAAAAAGAAACAGTACCTAGAAGCGCGAATATAGCAACTGGAGGAGGAACATACAACCGGTCAGTCTAGACAGTTTTATAAGGACCTAAAATACACAAAGGGCAACACGACCAACAGCCCACATTAATAAAAGACGATGCAGGCGGTGATAAGCCGCCAATGCAGAATGTATATAACAGGGTGTTTCAAGAAAAGGTAATCCCGTCTCTAGGTAGTAAAACTGAAAATAAATGGGCTTTGCTTAGTAAAAAATTTTTGTAACGCCATCCGTTTTCAAGATACAGGGCGTTGAAGAAAAAAATTTACGCATTTTTTACGATTGTGCAGAAACTACTGGCAACATTGTAATGAATTTTCTACGAATATGTTTTGTAAGCTGATACATTCATGAATTTGTTTTTATATCTGATTCTCATAGAGGGCGCTAGTTACACGGATCGTACTGACTGACTGACTGATTCGTATTTACTCTCTCTGCCAGAGAGAGCCCTTGTTTTAGGCTCCTGCCTCTTCAGGGAATGGGATTGTTTTTGGGTTTGTTTTGGTTTGTTTTATTTTATCGCTAATGTCTGGGGTGGATTTGAAGTGGAAGTGGGTGGGAAAGTTGGTTTCAAGGTTGAGAATTGGTTTTGCCAATTGTCGTCGTGGTTAAGCGTATTTCGTTTCCTTTGACTGCCGTTTTTCCTTACTCTGTCTTTCGCTTTTAGTTCACAATCGCGCTTATCGGTCAACGCGAAACCAGTGTATAAGTATTAATCAATATAACTTTTTTTACGAGTATAATTAATAGTCAAAATTTCAAGTAAACTTAAACATCATTCAATTTTACACGAAAAAGTTACTCCTGGTAAAACTCGATCCTGTGTACCGTTTTCGGAATATTTTGCTTTGAAAATTATGAAGTCATAATTGATGCTGGTATAAAATAATTAGTAATTAAACAAAACTCACAAGAAGAAAATTAAATGAATGACTAACAACATAAAATAAAATTCAATTACAGTAAGTGTTCAAAATGCCCTCCCTTTTCGCGAATACACAAGTCTATTCTTTTTTCTAAAGATTCCAGTAACCTTCTAAACGGTAGGGGATCAGCTATGATGTCATTAAATTGACGTTGAATTCTTTCTTCCAATTCTTGGCGTGAATTTACCTCTGTAGCATAGACTTTTTCCTTAATACACGACCAAACTGCGTAGTTCAAAGGGTTAAAATCGCATGACCGAAGAGGCCAACGAATCGGAGCTTCTGCACCTCTACCAATCCATCAATTTAGTAAATGATTACTCAACTATTTACGACACCTTCTATCAAAGTGTAGTGGAGCTTCATCGTGAATAAAAAATAAAGATCTTTGCTCGTTTAGCGTTAAATCTTCTAATATCTTGAATAAGGATTTGTTTAAAAAATCAAGATACATATCACCATTTAAATTTCCAGGTAGAATGTGGTAACCTATTAATTTGTTACCTAAAGTTGCTGCCCTAACATTAACTTTAAATGAGTGTTGGTAATGTGATACTCTTTTGCTTCGTGGATTCTCATCACACCAGTAGTGTTACTTTATGGGAGTTAAACATACTTTGTCGCGTAAAGGTGGCCTCGTCCGTAAAGGGAATGCATTTTAAAAAATTTGGATTTTGGGCTGTCCTTTGTTGCAATGTTTAACAAAAATCTACTCTAACCGGTAGATCATCTGGCAGGAGCTCTTGGACTTGTCTGTAATGATAATGATGTAATTGCTGTTCTTTCAGTATCCGCCAAGTACTTGAAGAAGAAGTATTTGTTTGTCTTGCTATATTCCTTACGCTAACTGTTGGATCTTGATCAAGTAAATTTAAAATATTATTTTCTTTATTAATTGTTCTTCTGAGAGATCTCTGGAGCGATCATAACATCTGAAAATAAATGTGAACAGGACGTGGCAGTCAGGATTATGGCAGAAAACAGGGCATATTACTCATTAATGATCGTACTTAAATCAAAAATACTCTTAATACCGGCAAAAATATTACTGTATAAGACAATAATTCGTCTCACAATAACGTATGGAAGCGAGACATGTACTCTATACCAGCGGGAAACGACAAAATTACTGGTACTGAAAAGAAAGATACTGCGGACTATCTATGGGCCTTGCAGAGAAGAGACAATAGGAGAATGAAGAAGAAGACACAATGATGAACTCCAGACAGTGTATGGAGATGAAAACATAGTACGCTACATTAAAGCAAACCGAATGGCCATGGGCGAGGGACAGTGAGAAGATGGACGCGCCACGTGCTAAGATCGAGTGAAGAAAGACTCCTGAACGCCACATTCTGGAAAAGGCCCGATGGCAGAAGGTCAGTTGGTCGCCCAAGAAAGAGATGGAAGGACGAAGTAGCAAGTGATTTACGCAAAATGGAATACAGCATCGGGAAATAGCTGCTAAGGACCGACAAACAATGAAAGGAAATAGTAAAAGATGTAATGACGAAATAAAGTAAAGGACATCAATAGAAACAGAGAAACTAACATATATAGAACAAAAAAAAACTAAAGTAGAATGGAACCCCATAAGAAAAAAGAAAAGAGGATGCCAAAGATGCTGGAGGAACGAAAAAGACGACGTCATGAGTAAGAGAGGTCTAAATGATGGAGGATGAAACAACAGAGAGAGATTGAAACGGTTGAGCAAGGGAAAACAGTGAATACTGTAGAATCCCTGAATATTAATATAAATTAAAGTTGATGTGTAATTTTCAGAGAAACACCTTAATATTTCGACTTAATTAATTTAACAAAGGAAATTTATTTGTATGCCAATATATTTTAACTGACATCCCTAAACGCTTAACGTCACTGTATTTTAGCAATTTAATTGGCGTCGTTATGTGAAAAGAACAAAAACCGGCGGCGACGGCATCACGAGCGACGACCTGAGAAAGGCCCACATGCCGACCATAAAAGTGTTATTCTTCTAAGTGGTTGAATTGATCCCGTAACGGTCTCTTGTGCTGGTAGAGTGCTTAACGACGCTTAAGAACAGCAATTTTCTGACTATCGTGCACTTCGATTGTGCTCAGGACAATGAGAAATCTATTTGATGGATCTTTAAATGATATTAATACTGTTTAGTGCTTCACTTTTTGTGAAACGATGCACAGAAGTATTGTAAACCGATTATATCTATCTCATGATAAAAAAAGTCTTTCAGAAAAAGTACAGTTTATTTTTAATTTATTGATATTGAGGAAAATTTACCATTTTGAAATTATTTTCTCTTATTTTCTATAAGGGTGGGACCATACTCTAAAAATAGTTTCAAATATACAAGGCCACTTATTTGCTTGCTACTATACAGCTCAATTTATCAGGTATCATCCACACATCAGGGTAGTTAACAGGGATCTTTTAACTGTCTAGTTATTAGTGAAAAAGATGTGAAGGTTAGTATAAAAAAATTAAAGCCAAAAAAGGCCACTGGTAGTCATAATACCTCTGCTTATGTCTTTAAAGGATGTTCTGGTATATTTCAAAAACCATTATCACATCTACTTAATCTATCTCTTAAAACCTATTAAGAAATTGACCTATTTTCTTGTAGTCCACGTAATTCTTGTGCAATAATAAACGATATGCAATATCAGTGCAATGCGTTATAGTCCTTTTCTATCATATTGATAGCACATTATGTATGCAAATCCTTAACAGGTTAAAAAACCATAGGCGTCACCCTATACTTGTTTTGAA